TCTGTTTAGAGGTGGTATGGTATCATAAATTTCTATATAGCTGCATGTGTCAAGCTGAAATAAATACACTTCTATAAAAAATTGGTGTTTAGAGACAGTGGAGGGTAGTTAAAGTTTTCATCATCTCGGATGTTATTGCAAAAACGCTGTCTTCTCCAGTCAATGACTCAATCCTTTTGCATGCTATTTCTATTTTGTGTCAAGGCATGGAAGAAAATGCAATTGCCGATTAACATGTCATTTTCGTTTTATATGGGAAGGACATAGTAATTTATAACTTTGCCTCGCTCATTTTTACATGGTTATATGGTTTGATATTTCCAGGGTCCTTTGCAAGTTCTTTGCTCATGGAGCATGCCTAAAAGGGGAGCATTGTGAGTTTTCACATGATTGGAAAGATCCCCCAAATAATGTAAGATTTTGGTTTTGTAGCTTCTCATGTGTCATGATCCATATATCAATATTTAAAATCATAAGTTTGCTGTTATTTCTACTAACTATTTTTTAATCACAGATTTGCACCTTCTACCAGAAGGGAATATGCTCATATGGAAGTCGTTGCAGGTATGAGCATGTTAAAGCTTCTGGCCCCGAGGCATCAGCCTCATCTTCATCAACAATTCTTCGGCAACCTCTTGCCTCAGATTCTCATTCTCTTACTCGCCCTCCAAGAGCTATGTTAAGCAGTGGAACAGCGTTTCTTGGTGCATCTTCAGAGTCTTCTGCTTCAAGCAGAGGTCCTCTTCATCATACTAGACTGGCATGGGATTTGGACTCTGGTCATCATGATTTCTTGGAAAATGATGTTATTGAGCCTAGGAATGTTAAACCAGCTGATCAATCTATTTGCTCATTTGCTGCTGCTGGTAATTGTCCCCGTGGAGAAAAATGTCCTCATATTCATGGAGATTTGTGTCCTACCTGTGGAAAACATTGCTTGCATCCTTTCAGACCTGAGGAAAGAGAGGAGCATATTAAAACATGTGAGAAAAAGCATAAACACCTCGAGGCATTGAAACACAGTCAAGAAATAGAGTGCAGCGTGTGCCTGGACCGTGTACTATCAAAGCCCACTGCAGCTGAAAGGAAGTTTGGATTACTAACAGAATGTGATCATCCATTTTGCATCTCCTGCATTAGAAATTGGCGTAGCAGTTCACCTACATCTGGAATGGACGTCAATAGTACATTGAGGGCCTGCCCAATATGTCGCAAATTATCATATTTTGTTGTTCCAAGTGTAATTTGGTACTGCACTCCAGAAGAGAAGCAAGAAATTATTGATAGCTACAAGGCAAAACTCCGGTAACTCAATAATGCTTCTATCCTCATCTATTTGCTTCGGTACAAAGTTTAGAAATTTTGCCTCAGACAATTTTTTAAGATCTTCATAATTTTGATCTTTATTTTTCTTCTCAGAAGATTTGGGAGAGCCTCTTGATTTTCACTGTTTTTGTCATCTAGGTTGCGGTCTCTTCATGAAAAGTGAAGAAAACATGATTATTTAATTCATGTTATCTTGTTTTTAAAGGGAAAAACTGGGAAAGTCTTTGAGAAATCTTTATTTTGGGATCCAGCGGAGTTTTCATACTTAAATAGAGCATATAAACGGTTTATATTTCCCTATATTTGTGAATGCATTATCTATTTATTTATGTTTTGGATGCGACAGATATTTATATTTTTTTCTGTTTTGCAATTTTCCACCTTGCAGGTCGATTGACTGTAAACATTTTAACTTTGGAAATGGGAATTGCCCGTTTGGGACTAGTTGTTTCTACAAGGTAAATAATTTCTGATACAAACAAGTGTGTTTTTCTTTCTTTTGTAGTATGCTTCATCTCAAGATTCTTGATGGAAATTCCCTAAAAAAAGATTCAAAATGGAAATTCCCTAAAACGATTCAATATGGAAGGCAATGCGTATCTAAAGCTCAATTAAACTTATAAAACACTTTTCCTCTTTGAAATTTTTGTTGTTTTGTTATAAGCTTCACATTGTCTTTTGTCCTTTTAGATTTGAATGCAAACCATCTGTTGCCTCATATTTTGCCTGCATAACCTTGTGGTGGCTTTTGATTCTGTTTGCACTTTGGCTCTACTTGAAGCCATTTTTTGTTCTTTGTCATTCCATTTCCTGTGACTAGGTTGTGTATTTGTGTTGTCTTGATTTTCTGAATATATGTGGTCAAGATGTTATTAGTAAGCCGTGCTCGCTCTTGTCTGTCCAAGCTTAGTTTTTTTAATGGGTGTAGTTGCCCAGCTGTGTGTCTGTTTTCATTTGAAGGAATTTTATGGCCTAATTTATCAATTTATAGCACATGCGAACCTGAGTTCCCCTATAATTAAGCAAGGTGTGTCTAGCTGATCAATTTGGAGTTGTTGG